ACGATTGCTGCTTTAATTTATGCGATTATAAGAAAAAAAGTCGAATTCGAGTAATTAAAACTTTAATAAAAAGCGATAAAACTGCTTAAAAAAGCTTTGCTTTTTGCTTTCGCTTTTATTAAGATCGATTATAACAAAAGAAAAAGGAAAATCTACTTAACAGTAAACGTTAGTCTTAAAAAATAAAAAGTAGTATTGCAATAAAAAGACTTCGATAAGAAGCGATATTTTGCTAAGTTCGAAAGTAATCTTTAAAACTTTGTTAAAAGCAAGTACGACGCGATCAAGCGAGAATGTCGCGGTGCTTTAAAAGCTTTAAAGAAAATAAAAAGCGAGTTATACGAAGTTCACTTTATTTTAAAAACCGACGTTAAAGTACTAATTGATTAACTTAACGGATTAACGAGCGATTTGCTTAAAGCTTTCGTTACGAATTAGATTGCGTAAATAAGATTAATAGATTTTAAAGTTAAGCATATTTTTAAAATTAAAAACACGGTAGTAAACGGTCTTTTTTTAAAAAAAAAGAGCATCTTTTAAATATTAAAAAAAGAAAAAAAAGATATTGACGATTAAGTTATTAACGAGCTAAGTATTGTTTTAATATTCTCGATCAAACGACTCGTGAACTATAGTTTACAAATTAAAAAAAAAGTTTTAAAGCACGATTACTTATCCGAATTTAAGCTTATTGTTTAATTCTTTACTAGTTTTAAACGCTTTTTTTCGATTAAGACTTACGACTTTTAAAAGTTTAAAAACAAAGTACTTAATTACTTGATTAAAAATAATTACTTTTATAAACGAGCAAACAATTCTTATTTGATTAAGCTTGTCGGTATATCCATATCGACCTTAGCTAGTAGTAGTAGTAGTAGTAGTAGTTAGGGAGTTCACCCGTGAACCAGGGTTCACGGGCCACTTGGCATGCCTCGCTTAGCATGTCAGCAGTCAAAGGACTCCTAACTTGACCAGTAGACTTATTAACTAGCTAAGGCACGTGATTCCTTCTAATCATATAAAAGGAATCAGCTCCCTTGAGCCTTAAGGAGCAGACAGAATTCAGATACCTTATTAACCGAGTGTTTTGCAATTGCAAGTATTTTGACGAACGTTACGACCTTACGAATATATATTCTCAATCGCTTAGAAGCAATCTAACATTAATCAATAGTTGATTTACTATTAAGTGATCAATCATAAAAAAGCTAGGACTTTATAGCGAAGATACTTTTTATTACGATACTTCTTTCTTTTTATAACGGAAGAGCGATTCCGTACTAAGTCGCTTTTTATACTACGGATTTTCTTTATTCTTACGGAAGAATGATTCCGAACCAAGTCACTTTCAAACAACTTTAACGCTATAAGAGCCGCGCTTGTTATATATAACAACTTAACTAAATTTAAATCGACTTATATATAAACAGATAATAACTATGGCCGATCGAGCAACTAGACCTCCGAGTAAAGAGTTTAGCTGATAAAGAGCAAGGTATTATACTTTTCGAGTCTTATCACTACTTACGGAACTCTTAGTTATTTAGCTAAAAGAACTATTATACTTAAAGCTCTTAAAGCTATCGGAAAGGCTAGATGACGAGATGTCGAGCATCTCATTTGACTTGAATGAATTGCTATACGCAAGGCTAGATAATAAAATCACAGCTCGAGCGATAATAAAAGACTTTTTAGATGCGAAGTATAAAAGGCTAAAAGATTACGATCTATAAAGCTTATTCCGGCACGCTTTTTTACGCTAAGATTAAACGAGCTCTACGATGACGAAAGATAATACAAAACGAGGTTTTAAGTTTATTACTTTTATTGACTTTAAAGAACACTTATTGTCTAAAGGCGTATAATGCCTTTTAAAGCAAAAAGGTTACGCTAATAGAATGGTCAAGCTCTTGAACGACGAGCAGCAGCACTAATAGACTTTTAAGGAAATAAAAGAGTAATAAGCAACACTTTTAAGCTTCGAATCAAGGTAGACCGCCGAAAACTTTACGGACGACGAAGATATTACATTTTAACTACCTTAACTTTTATTTTTACGAAGTCTAAAAGAGAAGGAGAAAGAGACTTTAAGTAAGAAAAAAGAAGAAAAGAAAGTCTAAAAGTTACGAAAAGAGTTTTTAAAAGAAAAGAAAGATATGGAACGAAATATAAAAGCTATAGCAAAGCAAATAACGGAATTTGTGACGACACGCCAGGTCTTCTGGACGCACCTTATATGCGTCAAGCTACTTCTTTCCTTTTTTCTTTCGTATTCTTCGTATTCTCTCATTCTCCGCTTTTGACCTATAAACTATAGTTCACGAGTCTTTAGCGCTTTTACCTTCGTGTATATAGACCTCAGCTACTTTCGATCTTTACACTTAGTAGTTGTTGATTTTAAGTTATCACTTTAAGATTCTTTTAAGCTTTTATATGAACCCTCGCGCTTTCGTGAGTTCTTTTAAATAATCGCTTAAGGTCGTTATATTATTAATAACTATTTTATTCCGCCGGGAACGGCTTTAATAATATTCTTCTTTAGAATTCTTTAATAGTTAGACGTCAAAAAACATTTAAACGACTTTAACGGTTACGAGAAAGCTTATTTCAAGTATAACTTAAAAGATAGCACTTATATAATATAGCAACTTTCGCTTCGCGAGCAAAATCCTTCGCACACTTCTTAAAGCTGCTTTAGCAGCTCTTTTCTCTTTTTTTACGGCTCAACTAATAATCTTTTCTACTTAAAAAGAAGCTACTAATAAGCAAGACGATAAAGATGATCTTTCGGCTCTTATTAACTTCGAAGAAGCCTTGGCTTAATACTAAGCTCTCTTTTAGTTTTAGCGAAAGGCCGTTAAGCTTAGAAAGCTTTTCGCAAACATAAAAACTCGTAACGAAGAGCTCGATAAAAGCGCTAGCAAGCAAAGAACTTTCGCCGAAAAAGCTAAAAAAGAAGCCCGTCGAGCTCGAAAGGAACTAAATTAGCTTTAAGCGGTCTTGCTAATTACGGAACGCTTGTTAGAGCTTTTTTAAGTGTCTTTCGAAGATAACTTTAAAAGCAAAGAGCTATACAAGCTTTCGGTCTTTTAAACCACTCCTTTTACTTATAAAACCGTTAACTCTCGCCGCTTCTTCGCCGACGACGATAAACCACTTTTTTTTTACAAGCTAATTAACTTTCGCATTTTAGTTAAGTTCAATACTTTTAAAGCTTTTTCTTTAGCTTCTTAAAGTCGCGCTCGTATTAAGCGGATCTTTAACTTTAAATAAAAGCTTTTAGACGGTGTAAGCTATTGCGCACGTTATTAACAAGCTTGCGTCTTCGACAACTTAAAAGCTTTCGAAGAATACTTTTTTACGGAACGCTAACGCAAGAACTACGTCTTTAATTAAACCGAAAAGATAGCTTATTTGTTTTTAGCTTTTTTAATCATAGATCGTAGCAACTTCGTAACCGCTTCGGAACTCGTTTAGATCGCTTTCGAGTTTTTAAACGATTTCGCTAAAAAGGCTAAAGCGTTAATTGAATTCGAAAAACTTTATATAAAGCTTAACTAGCAATTTTAAGACTTTTACTTTGTTTTCTCGAAGCTTGCTGCTATCGCCGAAATCAAAGACGAAGATCGATTACGTAAGGCTTTGCGTTTTAAGATTATAAAGACGCTACGCGACTAGCTCTATTTAGAATTTGTTAAGACTATAACCTTCAAGGACTTTTAAACCGCCGTCTAGCAACTAACGGCTAGCTAATACGCGTTTGTAAAGCTTTACGACGCTTTATAAGCTAAGTATAACATTTAATTCGCGAAGAGCTTTTATAATAAAGCTCGTAACGAATCCCGCTCGGCTTAAAAAGCAGCGGTTAAGCAAATCACTTATTACGAGAACCGTTAAAGTAGCTCAACCTTTGTGTTTTTCTTTACTTTTTAGCGTTAAACTTTTAACAGCTTTAGCGTTAATGCAAATCGATCTAATCGATTTAATAAATTCTCTTTTTTCGAAAACGCTTTTAAGTCAGCGATTAAGACTTTTAAATCGTCTCGTAAGGATTCGAATACGCCGAAGCTCTTTCGTCACTATTTAATCAACGAAATAAAATACGGCGCTAGACTTGAATACGGCTTTTATTCGGATAACTCGGACGATAAGCTTTACTCCGACGCTTTTGAAGATCACTAAGAGCTCTCTTTTGCTGATTCCGACGCTCTCGATAATAAAAGAAACGTCGAAGCTTAAGCAAAGCTTTTTTTTTAAGCTAGCTTCGAAATATGCGATACCTCGACCTTACGAAGCTATTTAGTAGTAAAGCTATAACTATACCCGTCACTTTTATTAAGAATAGTCTTTCGTATAAAGTATTTGCTTTGCTCGATTTAAGAGCTAATAAGTACGCGCTAATTAACTTAGCGCTATTTAAATCATTTTCTTTTTTTTTAAACTTTTGATTCAACCTTTCTCGGCTTTATTCTTTGTTAAATTATATAATAGAGCTCGTAAAGCTACTATTTTACATTTTGCACTTCTTAACTTTACAATTAATAAGCGCGTTTAATCTTTTTGTGAAATTTGAATGAGGAATTGGGGTAAAGAAAAGACGAGTCCAAATTGCTTTTTGCTTGCTTGCTTGAAGTAAATACAGGAGACCTTTCAAGGTCTTATATAGACTATTAAGTAGTTCTAGAGCCTTCTATATGACTCATAGAATACGTAATAGTATTACAAATCAAAATCAAGTAGAATGTTCCTGAAGGTTCTGGTAGGTCACCTGACTTCGCTTAGAAAGTTCTAAAAGTACTAATTACAAATCAACACCTTAGAATATTCTAGGCAAAGTAATGATTATAAATCAACACGCCCCTTTAATCATTACTTTAATAAGCTAGATTTAAATCAGAGCTTATACAAAGAAAACTATTTAAGTGCGCCACTTAACCCTTATAAAAGCTAGTTTTAAAACAGAGCTTTTATACTTGCAATCTATTTATTTCTTAATATAATTAAGAAAGTTGCAATTGTTTAACAAATTCGTTAAACTTAGGCTTATCGAGAGCTTTAATAAACCCGTCTGCCTTTTGATTCAAAGTTCTTATATAAACAAGGTCTATAATACCTTTGTTTATAAGATCTTTTATATAATGATATTTAACAGCTATATGCTTTGTTCTCTCGTGAAAAACAGGGTTTTTAGCGAGTAATAAAGCGCCGTTATTATCAGTATATAAAGGGAATTTATCTTGCATATAATAGCCTAATTCGGTAAGAAGTTGCTTTATATAAACAGCTTCCTTAGCGGCCGAATTAATCGCCATATATTCAGCTTCAGTAGTGCTTTGAGCTATTATACTCTGTAATTTTGATTTCCAACTAAACAAGCTAGAGCTTATATAAAAGTTGAAACCGCTAGTCGATTTTGCTGTACTAATATCTCCAGCGTAATCAGCATCGCAATAGCTACTAACGAATTTATTAAGGCTTCTTTGATAAATTAGCTTTAGTTTTATAGAGCCTTTTAAATATCGTAAGATATTTTTAAGACTTATAATATGGCTTTCGCTAGGATTGCTTGCAAATCGAGCTAGCTTAATTACAGCGTAGCAAATATCGGGTCTAGTTGCTAGCGTCAAGAATAAAAGGCAGCCTATTACTTGCTGAAACCACGTGATCTCTGACGCGCTAGCCTTATTAGGATTAGGCTCTAATTTAGCCTTTGAATCCATTAGTATTGGTTTAGGCTTGCAATCTAGCATATCGAAACGATTCAAAATCTTAGTAATATAAGATTCTTGGCTTAATTTCATATAGCTTCGCTTAATATCGTATTCGATATCGATACCCAAATAATCTTTTATTAGCCTTAAATCCTTTAATTTAAAGTATTTTTGAAGTTCTTTAATAAAGGATTTTATTGTATCGATATTCGGATTAATAAGTGCTAAATCATCAACGTAAACGCTAATGATTAATTTTAGCTCTTTATTATACAAAATACAGCTATCAACTAGTAAAGGCGTAAAGCTGAATTTTTGTATAAGCACTTCTTTTAACGTGATAAACCATAAACGAGCTGATTGTTTTAGTCCGTATAATGCTTTATTAAGCATTAATAGCTTATTCGCATATTTAGAGCTATTGATTCCTATTAGAGGAATTATATATAGCTCTAAGTTAATATCGCTTTGAGTAAAAGCTGATATCATGTCGATTTTATATATAAACCAGCTATATAAAACAGCTAGCGCAAAAATTAAGCGCCAAGCTATTTGTTTGACAACGCTAGTAAAGGTATCTATATAGTTTAAGCTATATAATTGCTCAAACCCTTTAGCCACGAACCTTGATTTAAATTCGTAAGTATCGGTACCTTGCTTGATTTTATAAACCTATCGAGTTTTTAAGGGTTTAATATTATTGCTAGCGCTTTTATTGACTACTTTCCAAGTATTTTGGCTTTCTAATAAATCTATTTCATTTTGCATAGATTTAAGCCAGTAGTCCTTATATAAGGCTGAGTTTATAGCTTCCTTATAGCTTTTAGGCTCTAATGGCGGAGTGCTAATAAAGGATTTTTTAATAGTTACTTTAGAATTATTTTTATCGCTTAATTTAATTAGCCTTTGATCGAGATTTCGATCAGTTTTAGAGCTAATTAAAGCCATTGAAGCTAGAAGAGTTACGTTCTTGTAAACCGACATAGCTTGTATTTGCTCTTCGATTAATCGATTATTTAGCTTTGTAATAGCTAAATTAGAGGAGTTATTTTTACTCGATCTAGTAGTTACGTTTGGTCTTTGATCGGAGTAATCTTTCGCCGGGCCTCGAGTTTTAGGAGCTTTAAGCGCTTCTACGGTAGCTTTATTAAGATCATTTGTATTTAGATCACTAAGAGCATCGCTAGCGCGAGATTCAGTGTCGTTAAAATAAGGTTGATCTTCGGCTTCTTTTATTTCAACGACTCTTTGCTGGCTAATATTCGGCTAATTATTACTAGTATTATCGATTGATTTAATACTAGTAGTAAAATCATTATCGCTCTTAATAAAAAGTAACTTTTCTTCGATTATATCGAAATAATCGCTCTTTTCGTTAATTAGTTCGTCTTTAAATTTAAGGTCTTTTTTAATAAGAACGTTTTTTGAACTAATTACGACTCTTTTACTCGGGAAGTAGATCAAGTAATTATTAGCTGATTCGAAACCAACTAATAGCCCCTTTTCATCTTTATCGGCTAATTTATTGTCTCGCTTATTTTTTAATATATAAGCTAGAGAACCTAGTATTTTAAAGTAGCCTATATAAGGCTTTTGGCCGTAAAGAGCTTCGTAAGAGGTCTTTTTGATAACCGAGTTATAAGACCGATTTTTTATATAAGCTATTGCTTGCAATAATTAGGGCCATAAAAATAGAGGTATATCTCTATCCTTACATACGCTTATTAAGCGTTCAATTAGATAACGATTTAATCGTTCGGCTATGCCGTTTTGAAAAGG